TATAACCAAACACTTCAGAATACACTGAAATATATTGGAAACAATATTTCCTTGGTTCCCATTCCTTTGGTACAAAGCATAAGGCTTGACTTAATGGTACTTCCAAATAGGCAAAGAAACAATGACCCCCACATCCCAGTATAGAAGACGAGAGTTGCACTCCTAGGTGTTGGCATTTTCCAGTGGTAGTTGTTAATTTGGTATTAAGTACCAGTAACACCTACCTCCTCTGCCCACTTCTGGCTCAGCAGCACAATATGTGTTCGTGGATTTACCTGAGGAATTTGTTAAGATCTCCATGCTTCATATACTCAAAGACCATGATGAGCGGATCACCCTCGACACAGACACCGTAGAACTTGACGATGTGCTCGTGTTGCAGGTTAGTTAGCAGCTCTGCCTCACGGTGGAAGTCCTTGCGGGCATTGTCACTGGCATCCTTCAGTGTCTGGTGGAGAAAACAAAAATGTAGGGAAGGGGAGATGTTCGCAGAAGGGAGCAAACATGTGGGATGGCACTGTAAGGGTAAGATAAGGACACTACTGCATAAAGGATGGAGGAAGTGCTTTTCTTAGTAACTCTTCTAGAAATGCAGATGTGATGTTTAAGTGCAATTAAATAATGGCAGTACAATTTTCATTCTCCTGCCACATGTCATGCCAAACCACGATTTTTCTAGTAAGAGGATGTAGGAATACTCATGATCTTACTGTGCCAAGTGTTTTCCAGACACAGAACAAATAAACCAATCTTATCCAAAAAACATACTAGTACACAGCTGGTTCATATCCTTTAGCATTTAACTCAGGCAAACCCTAGTACCCTGTTGGCATTTACCTTTCTCGTAAGTTCTTTAAAAGAAAACTCTGCTTGCTTAAAATACTTAGTGGGAACGTAGATGCATTCTTTATGCATTACTAATGTCGCTGTTGCTGATGTTGGCCCCTATGGTGTGCTATACATTAGGTAGATTCATACAAGGGTACATCCCTGAACCAGATCTTACAACCTGAGACTTCAATCAGAAGCTCCTTTGAAATTCAGTAAATCTACTCACATGCCTAAGATTAAGCATATGTATAAGTAACTGGAGGATCAATCCTAAATTGATAGACAGAGAGGAAGTAGATGCAGATCAGAATTCTGGGGTATCAATTTTTCTCACCCCCTTTTATTTACACAGCTCTAAACTCTTGTGTATTTTAATTTTGAAGGAAATATATCAACACTGGATCAAATAGGAGGCTTAAATGTCGTATGATGAAACAATGCTAATTTAACTGCCACACATAGGCAGTTTCAGATCTCTACTTAAGAACTACACTTCCTGAGCAAGGAAACACTTTCATGCACCGAAGAAAGCAAATTCTGACACCAATTAAATGAGGAATAATTATAATTGACAATAAACCACTACTAGGCTCTACCTTCAAAAGGTACCGTGGTTGCACTACACTAATTCAAACAATATTTTTAAAACAGTAAAAGAAAGATAGCAGATTACCAATGTTCACAAATTATTATTCACAGAAACTTGTGTCTGGGCTCTGTACCTCTGGATTTTAACTACACCTAGACTTAATACAAAGGAAGATGAGACACAAAAGTAGTGGCATTGTTTTAACTAAAGATGCTTTTTCCTGGCCATCTAGTCACTTTATTTTCTACCCTGAATTCATATACAGAGCATGGGACCAACCACACTCATCAGAACAGGTACAGAACAAGTTGATACTGTGCAATCATTCTGCCAACAAACCCAGTTTTTAGCTGCAGTAGTCATGGTTTGTTCAAGCTTTTTCTTTAACAGAGACAATTCTGTCCATTTTTCTAGTATTATATGGACACATGTGTGAAGAAGGGACTAAAAAATGACTGCCACAGCAGACACTTGCTTTACTTGTGAAACTGCAACCACAGGTCTTGAAAAATGAACAGCTACCATAATAAGGTTCAGATGGGGGGACAAGGAGCAGGGCAGACTGAATAGCCATCTACCAAGTTCAAGGGCTTTTCCCTGTGGATTTCAGGCTCTATGGATCCCAGAGGCAATAGAAATCACTCATGCCACAGATGTCCCTTCCCTGAGGGACCCACTTATGAATTTCATGTGTCTTCAGGCCCAGAACCTTTCTTCCACAAGTTTTACTAATAATGATGCAACAAGGATATTGCATCATCAAAGCTTCACAAGCTATGATATATTAGTATACACAGCTGTATCATCTAAGATGGATATCAAATTGGCTCCCCACTATGGTCCACACACAATCACATCTGAACCGAGTGAGGACTGAAATTGAAATGTCTTCCAGCGCTTCTGAGCTCTGGGATGATGTTTTAACATGATACAGGCACCAACCCACAGTCCAATCTACACTATATAATGAAATCACTGGGAACAATTCTGTTGTCACTTGAGTTTCCTCTGGTGGTTTCATGTTTAAAGCAATTGGACTGTAATTCTTCTCAACAACAGAATTAGAAAAACAATTAATATAAAAACCATTTTTAAATAATAGCAATCTGGAAAAAAAATGACAGGGAGAAGCATAGGCCAATACTCTTTCCAGCAGGGTCTTTCCCTGGAAGACAGTAAAAAAGCTGACAGCTCTGCCCTGTGAGGATGGCATATTGTATATTTCAGAAGATGCTTTTTATCTCACAGAAACAGCAAAATTATCATGTGACAGAGCAGTTGCCATGGCAATTACACATTTTCTGTCAAACAGCAAAATGCAGAAAGGTCTAAAACCCAGATAAAACTTGGGCAGGGTTTCTACTACCAAAGGGTGACTTGAATTTCTGTCACCCACCATTGCAAAACCCACTTTTCATTATTACATGCAGCACACAGAATAGACACAATGCAGCATTCAGAATAGACACAATGCATGAGAGATAGCTGACACAATCAGGCAAGGAGGAGACTGGAAAGTGAAAAAATTAATAAGTACGTAGAATTGACATAGAAATGACATTGACTAATGCATTTAGCTTGTTCTCAGTGCAAGAGAAAAAATAAAACCAAAATAAAACCGTAAGAACACAAAGAGAGAAAAAGACATATGCATTATTATTATCATTACTGACAAGTATGCCAAAGCTCTGCATACAAAGCACTCTCACCAGTCAAGGAGTTTTTCCCAAGTAGGAACTGAGATACAACCACATGTATTTTCCAACCACTCAGGCCAGCAGCTAAGGAGGAGGAACACGCTCCCTTGGGCAACAGAGGGACCCCCTGGCTGTTACAGGAGCTCCACATATGCTGAGTTCATCCTTGCTACCCCATGCTTATTCTCCTCCACAGAGGCCCTGCCCAGGTATCCACATACCATCTGGTCTCTGCAGACCTGTGCTCTGTAGCGAGTGCAAACCACCAGCTCCTTATTCCACCCCAACACCACAGAGCTGCATTCACGGGTGAGTCAGAGCAAGAGCAGGGGGATGTGGCTCTCACCAACATCAGTATGACTTCGTAATGAAACTCTCAAGACAGCTGCCCTTTATACTGCTTCAGCCTTCCCTTATGAAATCCTTACTACTGCTCCCCATCAGCATACAAGACCTGAGTGGTGTATTTCCTCAAGAAATGAAGGGGTGGTTTTGACCCTTCTCTGAATTGAAGACCCGAAGAGTTGGAAACCTTTGGTTTCCCTCTGCAGGTGCCGTGGAAATGTTCTTCACCTCATGCACATAGCAGTCTGCTAGCTGAGCACAACCCTGGTGCAGCACAGGGTGAATCTCCCTCCAACCTCCCAGGGGAGCCAGAGGCAGCTGCTAACCTGTGCCCTGACAGTCATCCTCACCTCCAGCTGAGTTAAAATAGTGCAAGACTATGCCTGGGGATCCAACCCTATGAGGAGACAGTACTGATCCAGGCCCAAACAACCACTGTGGCATGGCACAATGGCCCGCAAGGAAACCATAATTTTTCCTTCCTTCACCCTCTGTTCTCTAAAAGTGCCTGCAGCAAATGGTATACTGATGTGATGTACAAACTCACCCGGGGGGAAGGCTAGTACAATGCACTTAATCTCTCTGCCCTCAGGGTTTGACCCACAGAAAGCATTTCCAAACACTCAGTGCTACCCCCAAAAAGCCTGATGGTCGAAACAAATTTAAACAGATTGTCTTTCCCCGCTTCCAAGGAGCAAAAAGCTCAAGCACTTTGGGTTGTTTATGCTAAGCCTGATTTTATATCTTCCCAGATTTTTCTGGGCCTCTTAGCTCCTAAATAATTTGCTGCAGCAACATCAGCATTTCAGATACTGGCTGGCCGAAAAGGAGAAGGATGCGTGTTGAGTCAGACGGAGTGATGCTCAGGGCCAGGTGCGAACCATGCAGTTGCCCAGCAACCAGCAGGCACAGGCAGCCAGCGGGGACCACCAGCCATCCTGATCCACCGCGTGCAGGTAAGACCGTGCCTCCTCGCTGCCGAAATCCCTCTGGCACTGCCTTACTCCTCACCAAGTACATATTCCCACTGGGCTCACCAAACCTGTTTCACAGAGACAGGTGTGTTGTGGTTTTGCCCACAGGAGTGGAGCTCTCTAAAGCCCTTGCTGTGTGCTGGGAGGAGCTGTCCTCCGCTGCTGGCATCCAGGTCTGCTCCTCTAAGACTAAAAAAAAAAAAAAAAAAAAAAAAAAAAAATCACACATTGTCACTGCCAAACCCTGTGCCCAGCAGTGGGGTCTGGACACAGTCCTCTGGCTAGCTCTCTGCACAACGGTGAGGACCCATCCCTTGACCTCCACTGTGACTGGAGGATACCTGTGAGCTACAGTTGGTACCACGGTGAAAGAGAGAAGCGCCAGGCAATTAACGCCTCAGTTATATGGGGATCAATCCAATGGCCAAAAAATTCGCTCTTTGACGGCAGCCAGAGTCACATCTTCAAGAACCAATGCAAGAAACATAAAATGGGCATAAATGTGTCCCCAGAGGTAATTCTTCCCACAGCTGCCTGCAAGACCCTTATTAAGGACACTACAAAGAGTGGATTTGGTTAAAAAAAAAATAGTGTAACAACTGGTCCAGAAAACTGATAGATTTGTCATCTAAATCCATGGAGACATCTCTCCCTTTAAAGGCTGAATGCTCTTCCTTGTGAATTACACTGAGAAAGAGCAGCAGAGAGCAAGCGCGGTGCAGCATGTAACAGCAGAAGTGCTAGGCTCCATTTGGTCAGGACTTTCAAAGGGAGCAAGTGAGTGGAAAGACTTTTATTTTGCTATCAAGCAGTTCCCTAAGGTGGTAGAGGAAAGGCAATTTCCACTCTAGCTTCACCAAAATACAATAGAAAATTCATTCAGATCTAGTTTTGTCATCTCCTATCTCTTGCTTTCTCCTGTCTATGATATATCCCTTCAGGGCTTAATTTTTTCTCACCAGTCAACGTGACTGAACAACTCCCAAGTATCAAAAAGCTCGTAACCTTGGCAAACCCCAAAAACCTGTTATTTTTGATGGAGCAAAAAGCACTCTACAAGTCCATCCTCCTTTCATGTTCTCTCACTGCCAGATCCAAAAATCTATTTCTTGTTTCCAAATTCAAAAAGATGACCTAGTAAAATTTCTTTTACTGTATGGTTTGATCCAAAATGTACACATGGTTGCCTAATTGTGACTGGTCAGATAAAATTATTTTCTGATCCCTAGGCACAGCCCAAATTCTAAATGTGTATTCCCCCTGCATTTAATGAGATACTTCAAATGCTGAACACCTTGTTCAGCTTTTGGCTGAACAGTACAGATGGAGATGAGAGATTGTTGCCAGGGAGACTTTGCAAACTCTTAGAGTGTAGTTTCACCGGTACTGTTTTCTAGCATACAGGTTGAGGTCAACAACCAACCTCAGCCCTTCTGTTCTGGGGGACAAAAAGGCTTGGTATGGTGAAGCAGGTTTGGTGTCCAAGCTCTGAGATCAAGCTGGAAATCTTACTCCTTGGTAGATTCCCAATGTACCATGTAGCCTGTGCCCTTTAGGACAACCAAACAAATCCCTTTTTATTTTTCCCCCAGAAATGTGAGAACTATTCTGTATACTTGAAATTCCAAGGTTATGGCTGTTTTCATGTAGTTTCCTCCTCCTCTGCACTGTATTTTAGGAGAGCTGACTGGAGCTGTATAATCAAGAATGACTCCTCCAGGTCTGACATATCATGACTTGTGGATTTCCATACAGCCAGTGTTTAACAGCACATGACAATATTATCCAGAAGTTTGTTATACCAAACATAGGTTCCTGGCACCTATATTAATGACAATTACCCACAGACCATTTCAGTGGCTGACTAAAAGAATGGCACTATCCTGAAAAAGAAAGGCCTTCTTTGACTAGCAATTATGCACATAACCTATTCACTTAGCTAGTAACAGATTTTTTTTTTTAGACACACATATATGTCAGAAGTATTTTTAATGACCTAGACATTATTTTTCACCAATTATATTTTAGAGAGATCATAAAAGATTTTGCCCCTTTGTGACACAGTCTGTTTCCCCCCTTTTCCTTATGAAATTCAGCTCTCATTTTATAATCCACAGCAAGATCAAATATCGCATTCTCTTAACGATCCATTAGCCTTGTGAACCCTTCCACATCTATCAGAGCAGTTACACTGGGCTACGGAATAAGCAAACATGATCATTACAAATAAAATAGCATTAGTTGCAAGCATGAATTAATAATGGAAACCCTAGATTCTTTTACCTTCACTGCCACCAAGATCTTGTCCTGCTCAGGACAGAGGTTATAGCATTCCGCCAGAAAGACTTTCCCAAAGGCTCCTTCTCCCAGTTCTCTTTTGAGAACGATATTGTGGCGCTTGATGTGCTGCACAACTGTGAAGAGAAGACAAAACGGAGGTCAGAAGTGAGCTGCAAGGCCAGGATGGGATGGGGTCCATGCTTACAGCCACACGGAGACAGGGTTGCCTGTAGAGTGGGGGTGCATGTCGTGGAAGGAATCAAAGTGCCCATGTGTCATTCATTAGTGCTTTGTCCATAAAGGTCAAGTTAATATATTTATATTTGGAGAGTAGTGCATTTGCTGGATAAAAACACATGGAATTAAGAGTCACCTGGGAAAAGGTCATTTATCATCATGTTGGGATGACTGCTGCAGAGCATACGTAACACCAATGCTGCTTTTTTTAAAACATGAAGACAAAGAATCAGAAAACAAACCAAACTTTTCTCACACCACTTCTATTTTTGTACCTCTAACAATAGCTGAACTCTCTCATCCAAAGCCAAAAAGTTTTAAAATTTACCTAATCTGAGAAAACAAAATGTGCCCTCTTTCAACTAAATCCAACTTACTCTCTGGTTCTCTTATCACTTGCTCAACTGCTTTCCCTCTCTGTGCTATACTACAGTTGCAATAAGATAGAAATTTTGTTCTTGCAAACATGATTTACAGTATTGCTCTGAAGTAAAAGAAATAAAAGATGGACAAAGGTTTTAGTCAGCAGAGTGGACAAAGCCTTAGTTGAGTTGCTGCCCAGAATCAATTGATTCAGATATTAAAGTCCTTGAGCATTTTTGTTCAACTCATTTTACATTTTCCTTTCAGCACAAGCTTCCATTAAAAGATTTAATATTTAAAAGACTGTACCAAATTTTGTAGAATACATTATCAATTTGCAATGTTCAAGCTAAATAAAGCAGCTGTAAGGGCAGTTTAACTGGCCAACTCAACTGGGTTGACAGCTTGTGTTGCTGAAATTGTACAAAACAGTCAGCATCTACTGATGAATTTAATTCAGTGCATTTAGCTGCTTTTGCAAACACTGAAATTTAACCCTGCCTGGACAAAGCCTATTTGCAACTTAAATCCTAAACACAGTGAAGTAACTAGCAGTGCACAGGCATCAGGCCGGCTTCTGCAAAGGCATGAATCTTACCTCAGCTGCTTAACTGCAGGGATCAGGACTGAACCCTGCCAATAATTTAGGATATATTCAGATGCAGACCAACCCCTGCCTCCATGCGTGGCCACAGGCCTGTTCTAAACTGGGTGACCACTTATGCAGAAACCACCTTGCCTCCACTACTAAAAGATGGAAGACGGAGTGCTGCCTGTAACAGCAGTGGGGAGAAATGGCACAGCCTGTCCCCATTGCTGTCACCAGCATTTGGAGAAAGGGCTCACGGTCTAGGAGAGAAAAATATGTCTGCCACACCCTGAGCCTATGGTGATGTAACCCGAGTGCACTGCGTATAAATGCACTTCGTATCCATGTGTGTGCATGCAAGGGGAGCCCAGTGCTGGAGCAAGCCAGGAGAGTGAGAGATGTCCCCAGGCGCCTACATCATGAGTCTGCAGCACACCTGAGGAACGGACTTCCACCAGACCCAGCTGGCACCTGCCAGAAACCCCCAGGCCAGCATGCAAGCAGGCCTGCCATGCCCTGGGAGCAGAGTGAGGAAAGCCAGCTTCTCCCTGTGCCACGCCAGATCCACCAGGGTTTTCTCCTGTCCCCGCAGCTGGTGGCTGCATGGGGGGGCAGTGCCCCCCCCCTCCTCCAACACCAGGTCTCCCGGCAGACGCCACACGTCCCAGTAATAGCTGAGTACACATGAAATGAGACTGCAAGGTACCCCTCTTGTCAAACTCTGGTCTAGCGTAAGATTAAGTTTTATCGCGGTGATGCACTTACATGGGTACACTTTGGTCAGCTCCCCTGCAGTCAGTAGGAATTTGCTTTTTATTTGCATTTCCTCCTTAGCACTGGCTTTTCAAATGAAGTACAAAATGCAGTCAGCACGAGACAGGCCTGAACCAAAACACACCTTTTCCCCACGAATGCAAGTTAACTGGCATCCCTTGCCTCTGCTAATATCGGTCACAAGGCAGACATGTGGGGAGGACCACTGCCCTGCACGCCGCCTGAGCATGGGAGCGTGACACACCTCGTAACCTGTGCTTTAAAAAATGCTTACTAATAAATGAGTAGTCCCCCCTACCCCCTGCCAAACCTGCCATTCAACCCTGCCTCTTGGAGAATTCTTCTCTTTCCATCTGCTTGACAGCATCACCAGGAGGATGCCTCTCTTCCTTTCCTAGAGAGAGGAGTTCAGCTCCACGTTACCAGTGTCACCATCTTAAAACGTCAACAGAGCCCACAGACAGGGAGTAGGGCTGAGATCCTGTCCTACTGGTGTCAGCAGCAAAACTCCAGCAGAGGCAGTTTTTCACTTGGTTCTCTCCACAGCTGTCCAAGACCTGGTGATGAACACAGTCAACTTTCTGAATTTTGTGTGGGTCCTCTCCATTTTGAACCCAGCACAGCCCCAATGTTGGCCCTAGTAGTATGAAGGTTTTTGTGAAGTTCCTGGAGGACTTCACATACAATAGAGTAAAAATAAATAAGAAAAATATCAAATACTTCTCTGTGGTATACTTACAGCTGCTGCTAAATGCTCTTATATAAACCAAGTATTTGAATAAACAACCCATCCCATAAACCAAACTGTCAAAACTGAAACACAGCAAGCTGCAGAAGAGATCTGCGCAGAATATACTTGCAACTTTTCACGCTCTATCCATCCCTGCTACCTTTCTGAGCTGCACCGAGTTACTAAACAAATAAAAAATGACAGTAAATGTGACTAAATGGGAAGAGATTAAATATAAGAGCAATGTAAGTAAATCAAACACATATGATGTGATGGAAATATGAGCTAAGGAAAAAATCCGTTTAGCACACTCAGGGCCCCAGCCATAAGGACACCATCTTCAGTGGGATTTTTTTTAGGAGATACACTGAAAAATTCAGGTCAAAATCTGCTTTCAGTTAATATCAGGATAAAGCCAATTATCTCTGTTGAAGTCCGAGAGATTATCCTGGATTTACATTGAAGAAACAAAGCAGAATTTGGCCAAAGAGGTGGCATAACTGAATTACCAAAGAAGTGGTCTCATAACATTGTCTCACAGGCAAAGATCCACAAACATTCAAAGGGCAGCTATGTATTTTCCTCCTTTTGACTCTAAATGGTAATTGCCTTTGAGCTGCCATTTGTACTTTTAAGAGCACATCATCCCTAGTTTAAAAGATCTTGTCTGATTACCGTAAAAAATGCTACATTAAGCTAAAAGCTAAGTCGAGTTGAAATACTTAAGAGAAAAATGAAACATAAAATATGAAGTGAGACCAAGCAAATTAAACAAGGGTGAATGCTGGAAAGAGGCTGTGGTGTTAAATAATAATCACGCAGCCATGCCCACAGAAGCAGGGGGCTCCCACGGATGACTGCAGGGAACCAGCTGGCAACAGGGAGCACAACTGCAGAAAAGGACTCTCTTCACATCTCAAGATGTGAGACAGAGACATCCCACCAACAGAGCTGGACCTCTAGGTATTTCACTCACTAACAAACAGCAGTTCACACTGGAAATGATGCATCAAAGCCTTATCCTGCAAACACTATCTGGAGACATAAGATTGCACTCCCCAGTTAACCTACCTTTGATAGTATGGCTGAACAGAGAGTGTCACACCACGTTCTGGAGTGGATCCCAGCAAAACAGGCAACTCGGGATCGCCTCACCACATTGAATTCACTGAGTTGGATGTGACTGATTCCAGCCACCGACAGCAGGACACTCAGCAGTATAAATTATTAAAATGTTTCTGCATGTAATTAAGAAGTGAAATGCTGTGACAGAGTGGAAGTGTTTTCCCCTTGGTCACAAACAATAGGTCTGAACATTTTACCACCACATGTGACCATTACACCACCTAAGCTGACCTTCTACACAGCACGGAGCATAGTATTGAGTTAAATGACTTGTGCTTGGCAGGACACTGCCTCCAGAAAGTGGCTGTGCCAGTCTTGATTTGAAATCGGAACTATTCACTTGCCTTAATGTGTGATCATTTTCACGGCTAATAAAAATGCATGCCTTTTTCTTTGTCTCTTAATTTTTAGCTTGTCTGGCTTGCATCTCCCTCCCTTGGGTTTTAGGAGACTTTCTCTGCTAGCTTGAGCAGCCTTTTAAGGTCTGGTATTAAATATTCATAATCAACACTCTTCTTGCTCTTCTTGGTAAGGCGAAGAGATGGAAGCCTGTCCCAGGAAAACATTTTCTCCAGTTCACCAGTCATTTTCATGGCTCTTCAACAACCTTTTAAAAGAAGTTGTTTCCAGTTGTTTTTCCTAACTGGAAGCCACATTCTTGTATCACTGTCTACAAAGTTGTGATAAAAATATAAAATCAGCTCCCTATATCTCTGCACGTCCAAAGATCACACTAATCTTTTTAAGGCTGGGTTTCCTAAAGAGCATGACATTGACATAGTTATGTGGTATGCATGAGTGTGTCTCATCTTGAACACCTCACCCAATTACAGTATCACAAGTGCTGTAAGTTTCAGGTGTGTTCCCATATGCCTTATGAGAAGAGCAGAACAGAGGAGAGATCTGTCCTTATGGAGAGGCTGCAACACGGACTCACTGCTTGATGGACAGTAAGAGCCACAGCAGACAGGCTCCATCATCTCTGCTTACTGAACTCCCAACCATAGAAGATCCTGACGTGTTGCATGCTCACTTAAATCATCTGCTGAGTCTGCTTTCTAGAATACTGTTCAAGATTTTGCTAGAGGTACGCATGTGGAACAGTCCTGATGAAATGTGTTGTGCCAGGACACTGAGAAGAAAATTAGGACCTTCAAGATGCCAAGTAACCAGGCAAGGTAATATTAAAAACCTATTTACAGTTGCATAGGAAAAAAGCAGCCACAGAAGACTCAGCTTCTGATGTGACATGCGGTGCCACAGAAGGACATGTTGCAAGTTTCTTCATTTCCTCTCCTATAATTTCTCTTGCAATT